TTAACCACTGTGCCACCAGGGCTCTCTGGGCATCCCCTAACTGGCCGTCGAGTCAATTCCAACTCATAGCAACTCTATAGGACAGAGTAGAACTGCCCCATAGGGTTTCCAAGGAGTGGCTGGTGGATTCAAACTGCCTACATTTTGATTGGCAGCCTGATCTCTTAACCACTGTGCTACCAGGTCTCCGGTTGTCTCCTAGACCTTGTTGTTAGCAATAACTGCATTCTCTCCACAGGCAGTTTCAAGCATCACAGTCATCAGCCACTAGCTCTTGTCCTTCCAGCTCACTTCTTCGAGAACTTCTCTTAGTCCTTTGACTCCAGAGAGACCAACAGTGCATCACCTTTTCACATCCTTACTCTTCTCCTTATCTAGCTTGGCTTCCGTGGTCAGTCATTGTAATCATTCCCTTGTATACACCTCAATTCTCTCTCCCTTTTTCTCTCCTCGTTTTTGCTAGTTACTTTACAATCAGAAAAGAACTTGCATGTGTTCCCACTACTGCCTCTACCAATCTGCCTGCATCTGCTACCACATACAGTGCTATCTCTCGTTATTGTGGATGATCTATTTCTGTTCCTACACAAGATGATTGTACACTGGATCTTGTCTTCTCTGCTCTAATTAGGTACATTGTTCCCTCTACCACGTCAATACTTTTTTCTTCACTAGTGGAGCATTTTCATTAGAATACAAATAAGCTATATTATATCCCAACTTGAAAAAAAAACCTTTGACCTTACATCTTCTTCCAGATATCACCCCATTTCTCTGTTCAATGTACAGCAAAATACTCAAAAGTAGTTTCTACTTCTTCCATTCTTTCTTAAGCCCATTCCAGTAGTTTTCCTCTCTACCATCCCAGTGAAGGACTTTTCGTTGAGGCCACCAGTGACCTCCACATTGCCTAATCAGACGGTCAGTTCTCAGTCCACATGCTGTCTCCCAAGTTACTTTCACATAGCTGGGTCGTTCCCTCCTTGAAACACGTTCTTTACTTGGCATCACAATCTTCCTAATTTCCTTTTATTTTACTAGTTACTTCTTCTTGGTCTCATTTGTTCCTATTCTCATTCATCCCTCTGACTTCTAAATGTTGGAGTTCACTACAGCCTAGTCCTCACATCCCTTTTCTTGCCATATTTTGTAGTCTTACCTGGTCTCGTGACTGAATCACATCTTGATGTGGGTGGCGTTCAAATTGATATCTTCAGCTTAGGCTTTTCCCTTGAACTCCAGGCTCGCATGTTCATCTGCCGCACTACAGCTCTACTTTCCCCAGCTATCCCCTCCATGCCTTTCAGGGGTCTGGTTAACCGTCACCTGGTTAGAGACCTTTCCTGAATAACCTACCTAAAGTAACCTCTTTCTTGCCCAAGCACTCCTTCTCCCTCTAACCCTGTTTTTTTTCCCATAACACTGTCATATGATATGTTTTATACGTACAGACATATATATATATAACATAACATAATGTAATATATATAAATAGGTAAAAAAAGCAAAGATACCACTTTGAGGACTCAGGTGTGCCTGACCTAAGTCATGGTATTCTCTGTCACCTCATATGCATGCAAAAGCTGGACAATGAATAAGGAAGACTGAAGAATCGATGTCTTTGAATTATGCTGTGGGTGAAGAATACTGAATATAACATGGACTGCTAGAAGAACAAACAAGGCTGTCTTGGAAGAAGTACAGCCAGAGTGCTCCTTAGAAGGAAGGATGGTGAGACTTCATCTCCTT